CCAGCTCAAATACTGTACATGGAGAGGCTTTTCCTGGGTGCCAAACCCTAACTCTCTAAACTGCATCTGCAAATCATTTCAATAGTCGGCAGCTGGTGATTTTTACCACAGATACTTCAGAAATCAGACTGTGACAGACAAGAGCTCTGCATGGAGCCTGCGTGTTACATCCTGATTTAGTGACACAGTAGAGCAGTGGTTCCCAATCTGTGGTCTGCAGTCCTGTGGAGGTCCACAATGGTACTGTAACAAGTTGAGGAAAGGAAAAATACTGGAGAGTTGAGGAAAGGAAAAGTAAGGCTCGGGACCACCGAGGGACTGGGACTTTCCACCAGGTGATTCTCTCCTGGGGCTTGCCAATTGCGACCCACCACACGCACTCTGTCTCCCACTTTTGAGATGGGGTCTTGATATCCCAGAAGGCACCATCCATCCTCCTGCCACCAGCTGTGCTGCCATTTACTATATAGTACAGGAATTTGGTCTCTGACTTCTCTCTCCTGCGGACATGTGGACACAGGTACCTGCACCTCACTGAACTGTTCTGGGTCAGCACTGATTTTTAAAATCTATCTCTGTTGAACATACATCATTTAATGACATATCATTAAAATGAGGTTGTGTGCATTACTAAATTATACAAGGAAACAGTGTTTCCATCATATTCTTAAGAACTATATTAGTTCAATTATAATTGACACTTGGAATCTACTGTATAATACAAACGATGTGTATCAAATATGGTCTGAGGAGCGTCACGTACAGCAAATGTTGATAATATCCCTTTGTGCCTGTGAACTAGCCTGTGCACTAATAACTAATTAACAGTCTGAACTGTGCATTTTCTCACTCAAGCAACTCAAGAGAGTATTTCTGCCAACTTCCAATTTACTTTGATACAACAAACAGCAGCCCTTACTATATGAGCTCCATTAACAAGTCTGAGCTTCAACTATCTTATAATGTTGATGCCTGTCCTAGTGTCAAAATACCTTTTTGTTTCAATCTGCAACCCTTCCACACCAACCATTTTGTCTGTACAACCAAGGAGGCCTCTGCAGAGAGCGCTTGAAGTCATTGGGCCAACAGGTGAGTGTAATGTCCCATTTGTCTAACAAAAGGTTATCCTCTATCCATCAATTACATAGGGCTACTGATAAGAAAATGTCTGAAATGAAATTGTGTCTGTATGTGAACTGACCAATCAGATGTGCTTGCCACCTACCCACCCCTGTAACCTCAAACTAAATGGGTTGATGGTCTACCCATGTCAAAGCTGCAGTCCTCAATGCCTTACCCCCCACAGCCGATCCTCATGCACATAACCCCCCAAATCCTGATATAAGCCCCCAATTAATCATACAGTTCCTAAATCCATCCCAGCAGATACATGAAGAGGGAAGAATTCTGAACCCTCCTTTGCCAAGTTCTTTCCTGACATTATGAACATGATGGTGGCAGGACCTTAAATGAAGTTAAAGAGGGAGAGGAGAAAACAGCAGAAAAATCTCCCACAGAATCCCATCACCAACAAGACCCTTTCCTCACCCAACTATTCAATTTCCACCTGTGCGCACCACTCTGTGTCATGACCACCCTTCCAACTGCTGGCAGTTCATCATCCCCAACACTGGGAAGATTAAGCTTGATAGGAAATATTGCCCACCACCCTCAACGCTCCATCTGTCAGATACCAGCAATAGATAATCACACTAGGGGAAAGTGTTCAGCCCATCAACAGCTGGAGAGGGCAGTTAGATGATCATCTAAGCTCTTGTCTATACACACAGTGGCATGTGGGCTACATACTACAGTGAAAGTTAGGCTACTTTTAAATACTTCTGACTCTTTAAAGATTATTTTTATCTTCACAATATCCATAGAGCTACCCCCACTGAGGTTTACTCAGAGATTTTAATTTCTTACAACTGGACAGAAACGGTTGGAAGCTGAAGCTAGACAAACAGAGAGGGAACAAGGCATCCATTTTTAGCAGAGGTTAATTAACCACTGGAATAGTTTACCTAGGAATTAGAAATCTTTACGTCAAAATGACTCGATAAATAATTATTCCTTATGACACAAGCTTACCACGTACCCTGGCCTGCTTATACAATCTGAGAGGAGTCCATAGATCCCAAGGATTAGCTGAGTCCAGCGCCATCTGGAATGGATCCCAGTGCCTCCATTGCTTTCTGCATTTTCACTTCCGTATAAACTCCTGCAGGAGTTACACACTAATAGGATGCTCCCCCCTTGACCTCTGCCTGGATCCTCACTCCCCAATCCCACAGGGGCTGTGTGTGTGAAGAACAGGGGGAGCTGATAGGAAAATGCAAACTAGATACACAATCAAAGGGATAGGTAGCATGGTAGCATGAGCAGCAGTCTTGCCCTTTCCACCCCTGCGAGGTCAAGAGGGGTGAGTGGAAGTATGCTGCAGAGCCAATACCTATGCTCTCATACCCAGGACTTTTTGCTCTCCTGCAGACCCAAATGTGGCAGCAATTTAGGGGGACCAATCACCACACAACAAAAGAAAACTGGGAAATTATAATGGAAATACTCACAGAGTCTTAACATTACTCAATAACTCAACATCTTTCCATCACGATACCCTAACGTTTGACATAAACAAGAAATGATACCCAATGGCTAGAAGACCATTTCTGAAAAGGCATATGAAGTAAAGATGGGGGGGGGGGGAAAAAGCCATATGCCTAAGAAACACTTCATTGCTTTCTTTATTAGATGCACCCACAGTACACAGCCTCTTGCACATGTGCAAGAGGGAAAGGTTACACATTTATATTTGGGAGCACCATTGAGTTTGATTTTTTAATTCCATTTTTTAAGAAAAAGAAAGTGATGTTCAAAGAACGGCAATTCAAATCTTTAAGACCTGCTTCACTTTACCCAGAGATGGAAGATTTTTCTTTTATTACTTTGATGTAGCATAGAAGAGTCTGGTTAGACCAGGCTGTATATTTTCATAAGCAACTTTTCATATAAAAATGTTTTATTTCTCCACGCACCCAATAGCTTAAGTGCATTGTGTGGGGGGTGGGGGGGGGGGGGGGAAATGAACTTTGGCTGCCCTCTCATGCTTAAACAACAAAATACTAAAATATCAAGGAATCTATGACTAATGCTAATTTTTAAATAAAAAGCATAAGCAGGTCATTCTTTATATTAGACAATGACAAGAACTGCATTGCTACTATTTATCGTTGAGAACCCCACATCAACACGTGAAATTTGATTAGAGCTTATATATAGTAAGTTATCCAAAACAAACCAAATAAATACATCCTGTGTTCAGTGAGGTCATGATAGGATGTCAGTTTCTTCTAAACTGACGCTGCTGCTTCTTTGGATAATAAATAGCACATGGATAAACCCTTGTTTTAAATCAAAATTAGCTGAACTTTGCTTGAAGAACACACAATCCGTTTATTGGGGAATATAAAACTCACTGCCAATGTGTACTAGAAAAACTAGTTTTTGACTCATTACCCAGCTATTTTCCAAGATACAAAAATAAAAATATTCATGTGCAAATAAAAACAATGCTTTCCTCATGCTTTTGATCACCCTCATTTTGTCACAGGACAATGTCAGTCTTGAAAAAGGGCACCTCCTGCTTTCTAAGCCAGTTCTATGATCCTAATTGAAAAGAAAATGAGGTGCATGGGAGAAGGAACTATGTATCCAGTTCTCGAACTCTCCCACAAAACAGTAAAAACAAACCAAAAAAAAGCTTTTCAAACAATATATTTTCTTTTTCCATTATGTAAGAGAGCCTGAGGCTATACTTACACATGTACAACATGAGTACAGCTGCTTCAATTCTAACTCAAGGAGTTCTTGGCTCTGCATCCTGGATTGTCCATATATAGAAGAAGGTAAAAATAAATTAAATCCTTCTATTTATGCTAACAAAACCAAGATTAATTTACTGTAACCGTGCTTGCAAATACTCCAATGGCATTAGAATGCTTTTATTTAAAGTATTCAAAGGTTTGGAGGAGAGGCAAAAACACTCAAAAGTTATGAAAACAATAGGGGAAGCTTACAAGATTAAGAAAGCAATGCATGCTCAATTTAAAGTACCAAGAGGAACTTTTACTTCCCTATAACCTGATGTTATGCTCTAGTTTTGAAAATATTGTTCATTACTTTGACCTGACAATGCTTAGTCTTTCCCCTGTAATCAATATGGTTCAAGACATGAGTGATCTTCCATCAGCTGTAATGTTGGCAGGCTATAAATGCCATTAACAAAAAAGTAGTTTCTCAAAACCATGGAGCAAACAAAACCCAACTGAATGGATTCACTGATCACAATTGACTTAAATCCATATGCTGCCTTTATCTTTACACAAAACTCCCATTGATTCCAGTGGGACAGAGGCAGAGAGTATTGCCTTTGCGTTGCAGCAGACAGTGGATTGCGTAGATTCTGTGGTAACAATATGGCAAGTGCTTTTTTAAGTACATCACAAAGTACAACTTCAGACTGACCTCACCTTTTTAGACCCAGGTAACTAACCTCATGTTACCGCATTCTATGTAAAGAAATATTCCATCTTAGAAGTGAAAATCACTTTTAGATACTCTCCAATGTCCCCACATGAGATGTAGTAGAATATTGCAACCAAATAGGTTTTTGTGAATTTTGTATGATCAATTTCAGTAGGTCATGCCAAAACCAAGGACATCCAATAATAATCAGCACTCACCTAAATTCTAAGCACAGGAAAAGAAGGCACCTTTTTCTAATGCCACATTGTTTCTTTTCATTCTGCCAGGCCAAAAAAAAAAAATGGAAACACAAAGATTTCTTTCCACCATAATGGTTCAATTGTTGATGATTTAACACAGTCAAGTCAAGAATGAGTTTAAGTGTACCCTCTCATTTCAGACATATTCACACTACTAAATACAACCCCCAACTGTAGTAGAAACAAAAAGCTGTCAAAATCAAAGGGCTAAGGGACTGTTTTTTTATAAATTTATTTAATCTTCAGTATTTGAGCTTGCACCTTTGTTCCAGCACTTTTAAAATAAAATGTTTCACTTATGACAGTATCTGCCAAGTTTACATTGAGTCCCAGTCAGTGTTCTTATAAGAGGCTTATATTAATCCCATTAAACCATGTTGTGGCGTTTTGGGTTGCAGATGACTGATTCACTTCTGTTCTTTTTTCAGAATTAACAGTGTCAAGCTTTTACAAAGTTGTTGCATTTCCAACATCCAATGTGCAGACCAATGTGTACAAACTGTGAACTGATAATCCTGAAACAGTCAGTAACCTGGGATTGGATTCCTGCTCCCCTCCCGCTTTTTTTTTTTCCAACCTGGAAACAAGAAAACCTCAAATTCTACTGTACATTTGAATGGTAGGAAGAAAAAAATATACAAGCTCTAGCTTATACTGTATTTCTATCAATGGCAACAGGTCATAAGTTCATGTTTGCAACTAACACAAAGACTCATGAACACCAAGTCAGCTTTATACCATAAATACTGCTGGATTGATGGTTTGGTACTATCAACTCACTGTCATAGGTCTATAACAGTTCAAAAGCATCCTGGAGAAAAATCCTGAAACATATACCTTTCAGTATATAATAATGCAACTGCATTAGCTAAATATATACTGTACACAAGTCTTATCAGCATTTTACTGACCAAAGATGTAAGATTCCACTTTTAAATACAAAGCAGATAGCCAATAATGCATACTTATATTACAGCCGCCCTCTTATTTTTCTTTTAAACAATTTGGTCACAATGCACCTTGGATATAAAAGCATTTTAAACTTTATTATTAATACTCAGGACATTAGGATTTCCAGAATTTGTTTTTCAGTAGCATTTGTAGAACCACTTCTGGTAACAAATACAGTAGTTAGGAATGAGCATCCACTTCAGAATGCAGAAGTATATTATCCACAATCCTTTCCAGCTAAATCCATAGGGCTGGCGCTGTGATGAGTACGGTCACAAACACACTATAATATGTTTTTAGAGGCTACATCCTCTTCTGCTGGAATACTTTATAAATACATATTAAAAAGTAAGGCAACAACTCCAAACAGTCCAAACTGTTTGCTCAGCTCTGTTCCCAATTAGATCCATGACCACTGGAAATCAATTTCATGCTTGTACTGTTTAGCGTTTGTCGTTATAATTTCAAAATGGTCCAATAAAATGTATATCTACTGTAATCATTTAGCCATTAGTATTACCAAAACAGCTCTGGTATATGTCATATGACATGTAACTAATACTGGTTAGGTACTGAAGTTCATGGTGTTACCATTGCCCATTTTCAAAGGATTCAAGACACTGTGGATTCACAATAAATCGATACATTAATCTGAAATTTCCTTCCCTACTATGTTTATCACCTTTTCATTCTTCTTCCTAATGTTTGCACTGAAGAAGTACCAGTACTAGCCTGGTACCAGAAAGATGCTCACACCAGTAAACAAAACCTTAGGGACCTCTATTTTTCATGGCCCTGATTTGCATGGACATTCAACTTATGAAGATGTGCAAAAGGAAAAAAAATGTCAAATTACAGTAAAGTTATCCAGAGAAGGAGGATGTCACACAAACTCAAAAGGAAATGACAATCTTTTTTTTCTCTTTTACTATAAATACATTGAACAGTTTAGCAGAAAGGCAAGCTAAATTTAAGATTGTTCACATTTGAAAGTTGTATCATACTTTCTGCTAATGATAAATAAGGAACGGGTCCTGACAATGGAATTTTAACATAGCAATTTTCCTCAAAAGATCTCTGAAGACTGGTTTTAAAGAAGGGTCAAAACAATGATTATGTTTGCAAAGTTCTGAGAAGTCCATCTGTTGTCCAAACTTTGGATAAAAGTCCTTATTTTTTCCTTTACTTAGAGACAGTTATATACAGTGTTGTAATAATGAAACAAATGTGAAATCTACTGTAAAGTTGCACAATACAGAAAACTGTTGCTCCATCTTCTACTACATAAATGTGTGACTCCACAGGTTAATAATGCTGCTTTGTTTCTTTTGTTAAGTTGGAATTATTCCATCACGTCTAAGACCTCTCTTTAACTCCAAATCCTCCAGTTTTTTCCACAGTTCTTCACGTTCCTTTTCTTTTTTCTTCTCACTGGCAGATAAAATAAAACAAAATGTTAACAGTAAGGAACCTTTAAAAGTTTCTATTCAACAATACTTATTTGATGTAAGCTATGAGAAATATTTTTCCAATGCACATGCATCAGTACACATTCTTTACTTCAACTTTTATTTTACATAAATGATGCTGAAACAGGAGATGGGATATGCTAAGAAAAAAAAGTTTAAAAATCTTTACTGAAGTTAATTTTACAAAAGAGCAAAAATTACTAGATCATATGAGAATTATATTAAAATATTTTATGGATAAAATGTATTCAATTTTGTGTTAATACATACTTTTGTGGCCAAGTTCTATTTCACAATTTCAGTTTATTTCTTTACAGAAGACTATAATGGTTTCTTTTGTTTTAATTAATGTTAAACCTAGCCTATTCTCTCAGACAAGGCCAGATTAACTTCAGCAGTGCAGTTAGTGTCAATCTAGTTGCAGGATCTGACCCTCATTTAATTAATTTGTCTTTATTCCTTCTAAATTCCTTCAAAATAATCTGTGCAATGTTTGCTTTACCAACAGATTGCTCTATTTGATTAGATAAAAGGAATGAGAGTAACAAGACTGGAGTCCAACTGAATGGATGAAGTGTCAGGAGAAACCCAATAAAAATTAAAAAACTAAACTAGAATTTAATTTTTTTATTCTCTGAGTTCTCTCTCTTTGTTACTGGTTATTTGGCGTTAATATGGTTTTGATGCTATGAAGCAGAGACATACTGTTGTAACTGCTTTTAAATAAGCATAAAATTAGGTCAATATGTTCCAATAACAACTACAACATGTGGAGTATATGGTCTTTATTCCAGAAGTTGGAGACAGTTTTCAATTTCTGCTTAAGTCACATTGCAGGATCTGGTCCAATGGGAATGTGAGTATCATGGACAGTTAGGGTACAGATGTACAAATTTCAAATTTGCCACACTGCAGAGTTTCTCAAAATATTCCACTGATTTAGATTCTTAATCCTAGCAAAACTTCATTTAGTCAAAGTGCAGTCATTTGCACATATCTATAACAACATTCTTGGAAAGAAACAAGTATCTGTTTCCACTCATAATTTCTACTTTCATTATACACAGGTGCTGAAAAATATTCAAAATTAAATACAAGAAATGGTGAATACACTTAACAGAGATTTATCATTTTATTATCTAATTGCTGTAACATGTATCCCTTCTTTTTAAAATATTTCAATGGGTTACCTCATTAGTTCACCTATCGTTGAACTATTATTATTCACTGATACTTAAAATTTTAGCCAAGTTATTTAGAATTTGCCAGGGCTATACGCATCACTCTTATTTTTGAAAATTTTGTTCTGTTGGGGAACCCAGCATAAATCTTTCTTTTCCTAAACCCTGATCCTGTGACTAATCCCCCCTGATGTCAACTGATTCACTAGGCTGCCTTTGGAATGTGTGTTCTTAGACTGTAATTTCATTTTGGGGATTGCATTATGCATTAAATTCTTACTGAAGTATTTGCCACTTCTAACTACAACACTTCTTACAAATACTAATGTACTTTGCACCAGCATTTAGTAATCTAAAATCCAATCTCCTATGGAAAGATGTTTGAATACATGGCCAGGTTTTTCCACAGAACCCTAAAAAGTCTTTACCTAAAGAAACTGTGATTGTTTAATTGTTAATATTATATATGGTTTAATAATGAAGTTAATTTAATCCATTTTTACATTCTAGTATATATTTTAAAATAACAATTAATATATTTCTATTAGCACCAGCCCTAGGTACAGTAGAGGTAATCAAAGTAAGTGCTAAGAAAGTTCATCCATATAGTCATTGCCTGTAACATACAGGTTACGGCAGAGTCTGATCCTGTGAAACAAAGAGTGCCACATGAGATACAGACAGAATCCCTGTCACATGCATCAATTTCAACAGTAGCTGAGACTTCTCAGAACCTTCCTGGATCAGATACCTAGCCCTAGGATTCTGTGTTACACACACTACAAACTGTACAGTGATTATGTCAACTAATCTGACAGATTGAACCTTGTCTACCAGGGCCCGAACAAAAACCATAAAGTCACATATGACTTGGCTCAGGACTCGACACAGAACATGTTAATGCAGTCATTAATCCAGTGCACAATCTAACCCATTAATTACAGATTTGTAACCATATAAAACATTGTACTTTATTATATATCAAAGCAAAGCAAAGCAAAGCAAAAGGTGAACTATGAACCTGGTCACACAATTCAACAGTCTCATGGTCTCCAAAAGACTTCCAAGACTATACTAACCTAAGAAGGTTTGATGACATACAGTACCCTTCACTTTGCTTGTGGGAACCCCGAGTCACACAAAAGACACGACTTAAACGAAGTCGCAAACTGCCCGGAGTTCCCGAAGTTTCCTCATTTTTTTCACCTGCTGCTTTGGATAAACTGAAATTTTAGACAAAAGATGATGCACTATAATTGGAGAATGAAGATTAAAGAAAATAGACAAAAAACATTATACTAGGGTGCAACTAATGATTGTACGAATGGTGCAGCTACTGGATTCTTCACTCTAAAGGACTTAGCTATATCAAGATCAGTGAACAAGGAAATACTGAAAGGTGCCACTTAGGCTTAAGACCACGTGCAGGATAAGAAGGATGGGTCTTATGGTGAGTCATGTGTTGAGGAAATCCCTCATGTCCCACCTCCACCTTTTTTTAAACCTTTAACTTAAAGTGATCTCTTTAAACCCTTGTTGTTCTTACATTTCTGAAAATCTTGATACATTTAAGTCTTTTGGAATGTGGCGCCAAAAGGAGCTCTGAGGAATGCAAATCCACAAGCTATGCAACGGGTACTGTATTTCATAGGGAAGAAAACAACCAACTCTATGTGATAGTCTCTTGCAAGGACAAGGCTAATGAGCATGCAGAAAAAAAATGAGGCACTGCAATCAATTGTGTGTGAAATTATGCAATCACAGCAAAGTGTGAGGAACAAATTAAATGGCAGGCCTTATGCACAGCTGACAAAAAAGCTTTAAAAAGTTACCGCTGACGATCTGACTTGTAAGTGGCTGTCAGCTCGTCAAACATGGTGCTGTTCATTTCCATAAACGCCTTCAATACATTGTAGACTAAAGCTACAATTGCCCTGTGAAATAAAAAAAAAAGAAAAAGAAAAAAGATAAAGCATCTATCAGCTTTAGTTGAAACTGAATAAGAAAAAAATATAATATACACACTTTTCTTAACTATTCTTATTGGAATTGCTGAGCCTTATTCTGAGCTATTAGTTAAGAGTGATGTAACTTCATTGAAGTTACTCTTGATTTACATATTTATATGAAGGGAGAATCACACTTTTTATCAGGTAAACGGAAAGAACAAATCCCTACCTACTACTAGAGATGTAAAATCCCATACCGATTAAATGAGGGTGGGCTGGTGCGGCGCCCCCCTCACTGCGGATGGGAGCTGCTCTGGCCAAGTTGGAGCCCCGCTGCCCATGGTGTGCCGGATCAGAGGGGGTCTGCTCCAGCGCCCCATTAATTAACCATAACTGATAAGCATTGCCTGGTAAGGGAGATGTTTATCTGTTAACCAGGTATGCATTCACATCCCTACCTATTATAGGTAACAAGAGATACCTAGCATATACAAGTGCAGATACTTTACCAAGCAGTGGAGCAATTCTGAATGTAATCCAATGGCCAAAATTGTTATTCTAACAAAAGTAAATCTAAACAAACATCAGATGTGACTTATGCATACAAAAAGGTTCACTGGATGCTTCTGAACAGAGTATGAACATGCTGCAGATCTATATAGAGCCAAGTATGAATAATATGAGAGATTCCCTTGGAGTTGTGCATTTCATGGTCATTTCACTTCAGTACATATAAAAAGAAAACAAGACCACCGAGAAAAAAATCTTTGAGGAAGAGGTGATAATTCTAAGAGATGAAAGTTTATTTTAATCACAATTTTTTAAAGTATAGCCTAAATAAAAAATGCAGTATGCATGCTGAAAACGATTCCAACATTAAATTTTAGGATATGGATAGCATTTTGCAATCACGAAGCCCCAGACATGTTCTCTGCCAACTAGTAAATGGATAACATCTAATCATAACTACACATATCATTAAATGTTTCCCTAAACTAACTTTAAAAAACCCACAACAAAACAAAAAACCCAAAACAGATAAATAGGAAAGGTACATTTTCATGATCATGTAAGGATGCAATTTTTTTAAACAGTGTACATCAGTGTAGTTTGAGAACATAGGTTGCTCAATATGAGCAAATAATTTGTATCTCACTGTGAACCATCTATTGATTAATGCTGATTTAAGAGCTGACATTGTCTTTCAATATATTTATAAAAATAATCTAACCTGAGAACCTACTGAAATTTGTACGCACCTGTTTACATTTAGAAAAATGCGGCCGCCACTGATTAGATGACATGAATCAAAATATTATGTTGTATCTACAGAGATGTATTAAAATCGAGAGGTATGTGACAGGTCAATTTACAGTCAGGCTTCTCCTGTGAGCCAATTTATAGTTATGTATTCACAGAGCATTAGAAATGTTTGGGTGCCTGATACTTTTTCTTGGTAATTATGCAGTTTTTCCATTTCTATTGTTTTTGTATTTATGATGAAAAAATAAATACAAAAGTTTAAAAAAATATTTATGCAGCATATATTATCTGCCCTAATTATTTTGGAAATAAAATAATCTACACTGCTATTATCCTACAGAGTTCAGATTCTGTGCATGTATCAGATAATTTAAAATTATTCTGAGCCAAATACCACCCTGGTTTAAATTCTATTTACATTAATAGTATGTCCTCTGTTTACATCAGGTCTGAATTGTCTCTCTTGAGCTCATGTTTTCTTTAATCTGGAATTTCCAGGGTTGAACATACAGGTTTCAGCAAGTGGACAGATAAAAGATAATGCCAAAACTTACGGATTCCAGTGTTCTTTAGAAATCCTATACAGACTGGAGAACATGATGGGAAGTATAACGTTGGAGTTCTCTTCTATCAAACTCATGATATATTCATTATTCCAATAATACAGTGCCCTTTCTGCCACCTTTGATAGGGGAAAAAAGAATAAAATCCATCAGAAAATTTCAGTTACCTACAAATTTGTTACATTTTACAGAAAACTCACCACTAAACAAATAGCTTCAGAGCCAATCAAAGGGCTATCATTACTTTCAAAATTAAATCTCTATTTTATCCAGGAAATAACTTGCATTAATGTAAGGAGGTCTTTAAAGTAACTATAAAACACATTTAAAATGATTAAAATTAATGTATAAATATTCACAGTTTGGTTTCATTGTGGTTTCACAGACCCGTATGACTTGAACCCAGGGAAAGTGCTGAATACTGATGTGTCATGGTTCAAATTCTTGTCTCCCAGCTAAATCAAAGAAAGCCAAGGCATGGAGTATCTTACAAGAGGTGCTCTGTACTTGGCATAATTGAAAAACAAGGCAAGAGGGGGTTGGGCGAAGGTGGCTTTAAGCCATGATTGCTCCCTCCAGATCCTAAAATACTCTAAGGGTTAAAGAAATTGCTGGCATAATTCAGACTCCTTTGAAGGACTCAGTCGCATCAAACTCCATGAGCACTGCTTAGACTCACAAAAACACTGCTTTTTGTTATACTCTGCCTCTAACATGCCTTGCCCCCTGAGTCCCCACCACACTTCCTATGTGAAGGTTCGTGAGGGACCCTTGAAGGCAGGTTTTGATCATTTACTGGAATGTCTAAATTACCCTAGGAGCTAATTATGCTAGCATAGCCTAGGATTAGGAGGGTGATTTACACCCACTTTACCTCTCTTTGCCATGAGATGTATGTTTGAATGGAATCTAAGATCTCACCCTTGGAGTCTCATCTTTGTTCTAGTTCAATCTTCTCTGAGTGTAGGATCTGCTAGTGTAACACACTCAGCCATGGATAGAGAAACAGTAAATATAGTCTAATCAGTATTAAACTCAACATTTAGATTTCCACTATGTACATTCACAACTGCTTAGAAACTATATTTCTATTTTTTTTTAAATTACTTGTTTTACTGACCTGAAAGTGAGGACTAGAAACACACTTGGCAATTTGTTTAAACAAAGGTTCCTGAATTTTGACAAACTGTGAAGGTTCAATCACATCCAAGATCTCCTCCAGCTCCCCAAGGAACATGACCTAGACGCAAGTAATTGTTAAATTCAGAACTTGTCAAATCTTGTATTTGCAATTCATCAGCTAAGTTTTCAAACTGGTCTCAACCCATCTTCTAGTTTTATAGGCACAAACAACAGAATGTAGTCATCCACTTTATTTATTTAACTGAAATCAGACAGTTAAGATAGCTAAATTTCAAGATTTGACCCCACAATAGCAGGTGCAAAATTACAGAACAAGTTTCCAAAATTTTGCACACTAACTCTAAATACAAACAAAAGGGAACAGTTTTTGTAGCTGGTTAGCAATGAACTTAAGGGTAAACATACTTGTATTCCTACAGCAGTATACATTTTTCTATAGCTCATGACAGTTATCAAAAAGACTAGTTTATAGTTTAGGCCCTAATGCTGTACAAACCTTTCACACCCATATAACACATTTGCTCCTCAGGAGAGATAGAGGTTCAAATCACTCTGAAATGATGAAGGATTTGTGAAAAAAGTAATGGCTGCTAAGTGGGATAGTGAAAAGAGGGAGAAGACAAGACTATTTGATTCATCATTTAAAAAAAAATCTGCAAGGTGTTGGGCATCTTCAACTTCTATTAGCTTCCATTCTCCGCATTTTATCAAACTGAATGATAAATTCTACACTCCATAGTTCCTGGATCTTGCTTCTGGCTGAACAACACATGCTTAGTGCTCTATTTACAGATTATAATGCATGGTCTTTGCCCTAAGGAATTTACAGATGGCGCTATGTAGCTGGGGTAAATGCCTGGTCCCAGTGAAGACAATGGCAAAACTTCCATTGACTTCAATAGGCCAGGATTTTACCCTCGTAATTAAAGGATCCATCTTTAATTACTTGTCTTTTGGGCCAAATTTTCAAACAAAGAAGCTTTCTCTTTCCCATAAACATCAGTGTGTAAGCTCGGATTTGCAAGATCATGTAATCATGCAACTAACTGCAAATACCTCTAGCCCAACTATGAAAAAGTAGGCCTAACACAAACTGCTTCAATTCGTAACAGAATTTTTCCATGAAATTTCAAAACATTCACTTTTACCCCCGTTACATGAAAAGTCACTCTCTTGTGAAAAAATGCTTATATTAGCATACTACTTAAACTTGCCAACCGAGACTATGGTCTGGTCTACACTAGGAGATTAGGTCAAACTTTAGCTGCATAAAGGTTAATTTTCAAAACACTTAGTCCACAATTCCTACCCTGTTCTGTTGACCTTAAGGGCTGCTGAAGTAGATTTCAATACTCCTGCTTTACATGAGGAGTAACGCAATATTTGACCTTGTATGGTTGACTCTACAGTAGTGCAGACCAAGCATTGTGAAAGTTGACATTCTTTGTCTCTGGGAGGCATCCCACAATGCTGTGCTTTGACCACTCTGGCCAGAACTTGCACCTCTACTGCTCTCCAGATGAACAGGAAAAGCACCAGGAAAGTTTGAATTTTATTTCCTATGTGGACAGCGTTGCGAGTACACCTCAGAGAAGGCAGCACACCTGGCTGTGAGTTTCATGAATTCAAGTTCCATGAACTCCAGGACCCAATGGAGCAGAAGAGCACGAGCATGGAGTGTGAAGGAAATCTTGGACCTCAGAGGCATGGGGGAGAGGAATCCATTCTCTTGGAGCTTTGAACCACCAAAAGAAACACTGATATCTATACAAAGATCTCAAAGCACATGGAGAAAAAAGGATATGCCGGGGACGCCCAGCAGCGCCATGTTAAAATAAAGGAGTTGAGGCAGTTCATCACTAGACAAAGGAGGCAAATGGACAGTGAGGTGCATTGCCGCAAAAATGGCGCTTCTACGACAACCTGCATGCCCTCTTAGGCAGGGACGTGACCACCTTCCCAAGCCAGACCATGGAATCCTCCCACTCAGGGCAGCAGCATGGTGGTGATGGTGGTGGAGAAGGAGAATGGCCAGCTGGCAAGCTGCAAGAGCCAAGAACTTTTTATAACCTCGGAGACAATCCCTCCCCTCCCAGGATGTTTCAGTTGGGCACTGATCCTGGGGAGGGCACTTCTGATGAGTTCACAATTTTTTTCTTGCTACAAGAGGGTTAAGGCAAGTGGGCATGATGTGTAGTGTACTCGGTGCCTACACAGCACAGGGGACCTGGAACCGCTTGTTGATGTGTCTGGAGTTGGGAGGGAGAATCTTACTTTATAAATACATATTAAAAAGTAAGGCAACAACTCCAAACAGTCCAAACTGTTTGCTCAGCTCTGTTCCCAATTAGATCCATGACCACTGGAAATCAATTTCATGCTTGTACTGTTTAGCGTTTGTCGTTATAATTTCAAAATGGTCCAATAAAATGTATATCTACTGTAATCATTTAGCCATTAGTATTACCAAAACAGCTCTGGTATATGTCATATGACATGTAACTAATACTGGTTAGGTACTGAAGTTCATGGTGTTACCATTGCCCATTTTCAAAGGATTCAAGACACTGTGGATTCACAATAAATCGATACATTAATCTGAAATTTCCTTCCCTACTATGTTTATCACCTTTTCATTCTTCTTCCTAATGTTTGCACTGAAGAAGTACCAGTACTAGCCTGGTACCAGAAAGATGCTCACACCAGTAAACAAAACCTTAGGGACCTCTATTTTTCATGGCCCTGATTTGCATGGACATTCAACTTATGAAGATGTGCAAAAGGAAAAAAAATGTCAAATTACAGTAAAGTTATCCAGAGAAGGAGGATGTCACACAAACTCAAAAGGAAATGACAATCTTTTTTTTCTCTTTTACTATAAATACATTGAACAGTTTAGCAGAAAGGCAAGCTAAATTTAAGATTGTTCACATTTGAAAGTTGTATCATACTTTCTGCTAATGATAAATAAGGAACGGGTCCTGACAATGGAATTTTAACATAGCAATTTTCCTCAAAAGATCTCTGAAGACTGGTTTTAAAGAAGGGTCAAAACAATGATTATGTTTGCAAAGTTCTGAGAAGTCCATCTGTTGTCCAAACTTTGGATAAAAGTCCTTATTTTTTCCTTTACTTAGAGACAGTTATATACAGTGTTGTAATAATGAAACAAATGTGAAATCTACTGTAAAGTTGCACAATACAGAAAACTGTTGCTCCATCTTCTACTACATAAATGTGTGACTCCACAGGTTAATAATGCTGCTTTGTTTCTTTTGTTAAGTTGGAATTATTCCATCACGTCTAAGACCTCTCTTTAACTCCAAATCCTCCAGTTTTTTCCACAGTTCTTCACGTTCCTTTTCTTTTTTCTTCTCACTGGCAGATAAAATAAAACAAAATGTTAACAGTAAGGAACCTTTAAAAGTTTCTATTCAACAATACTTATTTGATGTAAGCTATGAGAAATATTTTTCCAATGCACATGCATCAGTACACATTCTTTACTTCAACTTTTATTTTACATAAATGATGCTGAAACAGGAGATGGGATATGCTAAGAAAAAAAAGTTTAAAAATCTTTACTGAAGTTAATTTTACAAAAGAGCAAAAATTACTAGATCATATGAGAATTATATTAAAATATTTTATGGATAAAATGTATTCAATTTTGTGTTAATACATACTTTTGTGGCCAAGTTCTATTTCACAATTTCAGTTTATTTCTTTACAGAAGACTATAATGGTTTCTTTTGTTTTAATTAATGTTAAACCTAGCCTATTCTCTCAGACAAGGCCAGATTAACTTCAGCAGTGCAGTTAGTGTCAATCTAGTTGCAGGATCTGACCCTCATTTAATTAATTTGTCTTTATTCCTTCTAAATTCCTTCAAAATAATCTGTGCAATGTTTGCTTTACCAACAGATTGCTCTATTTGATTAGATAAAAGGAATGAGAGTAACAAGACTGGAGTCCAACTGAATGGATGAAGTGTCAGGAGAAACCCAATAAAAATTAAAAAACTAAACTAGAATTTAATTTTTTTATTCTCTGAGTTCTCTCTCTTTGTTACTGGTTATTTGGCGTTAATATGGTTTTGATGCTATGAAGCAGAGACATACTGTTGTAACTGCTTTTAAATAAGCATAAAATTAGGTCAATATGTTCCAATAACAACTACAACATGTGGAGTATATGGTCTTTATTCCAGAAGTTGGAGACAGTTTTCAATTTCTGCTTAAGTCACATTGCAGGATCTGGTCCAATGGGAATGTGAGTATCATGGACAGTTAGGGTACAGATGTACAAATTTCAAATTTGCCACACTGCAGAGTTTCTCAAAATATTCCACTGATTTAGATTCTTAATCCTAGCAAAACTTCATTTAGTCAAAGTGCAGTCATTTGCACATATCTATAACAACATTCTTGGAAAGAAACAAGTATCTGTTTCCACTCATAATTTCTACTTTCATTATACACAGGTGCTGAAAAATATTCAAAATTAAATACAAGAAATGGTGAATACACTTAACAGAGATTTATCATTTTATTATCTAATTGCTGTAACATGTATCCCTTCTTTTTAAAATATTTCAATGGGTTACCTCATTAGTTCACCTATCGTTGAACTATTATTATTCACTGATACTTAAAATTTTAGCCAAGTTATTTAGAATTTGCCAGGGCTATACGCATCACTCTTATTTTTGAAAATTTTGTTCTGTTGGGGAACCCAGCATAAATCTTTCTTTTCCTAAACCCTGATCCTGTGACTAATCCCCCCTGATGTCAACTGATTCACTAGGCTGCCTTTGGAATGTGTGTTCTTAGACTGTAATTTCATTTTGGGGATTGCATTATGCATTAAATTCTTACTGAAGTATTTGCCACTTCTAACTACAACACTTCTTACAAATACTAATGTACTTTGCACCAGCATTTAGTAATCTAAAATCCAATCTCCTATGGAAAGATGTTTGAATACATGGCCAGGTTTTTCCACAGAACCCTAAAAAGTCTTTACCTAAAGAAACTGTGATTGTTTAATTGTTAATATTATATATGGTTTAATAATGAAGTTAATTTAATCCATTTTTACATTCTAGTATATATTTTAAAATAACAATTAATATATTTCTATTAGCACCAGCCCTAGGTACAGTAGAGGTAATCAAAGTAAGTGCTAAGAAAGTTCATCCATATAGTCATTGCCTGTAACATACAGGTTACGGCAGAGTCTGATCCTGTGAAACAAAGAGTGCCACATGAGATACAGACAGAATCCCTGTCACATGCATCAATTTCAACAGTAGCTGAGACTTCTCAGAACCTTCCTGGATCAGATACCTAGCCCTAGGATTCTGTGTTACACACACTACAAACTGTACAGTGATTATGTCAACTAATCTGACAGATTGAACCTTGTCTACCAGGGCCCGAACAAAAACCATAAAGTCACATATGACTTGGCTCAGGACTCGACACAGAACATGTTAATGCAGTCATTAATCCAGTGCACAATCTAACCCATTAATTACAGATTTGTAACCATATAAAACATTGTACTTTATTATATATCAAAGCAAAGCAAAGCAAAGCAAAAGGTGAACTATGAACCTGGTCACACAATTCAACAGTCTCATGGTCTCCAAAAGACTTCCAAGACTATACTAACCTAAGAAGGTTTGATGACATACAGTACCCTTCACTTTGCTTGTGGGAACCCCGAGTCACACAAAAGACACGACTTAAACGAAGTCGCAAACTGCCCGGAGTTCCCGAAGTTTCCTCATTTTTTTCACCTGCTGCTTTGGATAAACTGAAATTTTAGACAAAAGATGATGCACTATAATTGGAGAATGAAGATTAAAGAAAATAGACAAAAAACATTATACTAGGGTGCAACTAATGATTGTACGAATGGTGCAGCTACTGGATTCTTCACTCTAAAGGACTTAGCTATATCAAGATCAGTGAACAAGGAAATACTGAAAGGTGCCACTTAGGCTTAAGACCACGTGCAGGATAAGAAGGATGGGTCTTATGGTGAGTCATGTGTTGAGGAAATCCCTCATGTCCCACCTCCACCTTTTTTTAAACCTTTAACTTAAAGTGATCTCTTTAAACCCTTGTTGTTCTTACATTTCTGAAAATCTTGATACATTTAAGTCTTTTGGAATGTGGCGCCAAAAGGAGCTCTGAGGAATGCAAATCCACAAGCTATGCAACGGGTACTGTATTTCATAGGGAAGAAAACAACCAACTCTATGTGATAGTCTCTTGCAAGGACAAGGCTAATGAGCATGCAGAAAAAAAATGAGGCACTGCAATCAATTGTGTGTGAAATTATGCAATCACAGCAAAGTGTGAGGAACAAATTAAATGGCAGGCCTTATGCACAGCTGACAAAAAAGCTTTAAAAAGTTACCGCTGACGATCTGACTTGTAAGTGGCTGTCAGCTCGTCAAACATGGTGCTGTTCATTTCCATAAACGCCTTCAATACATTGTAGACTAAAGCTACAATTGCCCTGTGAAATAAAAAAAAAAGAAAAAGAAAAAAGATAAAGCATCTATCAGCTTTAGTTGAAACTGAATAAGAAAAAAATATAATATACACACTTTTCTTAACTATTCTTATTGGAATTGCTGAGCCTTATTCTGAGCTATTAGTTAAGAGTGATGTAACTTCATTGAAGTTACTCTTGATTTACATATTTATATGAAGGGAGAATCACACTTTTTATCAGGTAAACGGAAAGAACAAATCCCTACCTACTACTAGAGATGTAAAATCCCATACCGATTAAATGAGGGTGGGCTGGTGCGGCGCCCCCCTCACTGCGGATGGGAGCTGCTCTGGCCAAGTTGGAGCCCCGCTGCCCATGGTGTGCCGGATCAGAGGGGGTCTGCTCCAGCGCCCCATTAATTAACCATAACTGATAAGCATTGCCTGGTAAGGGAGATGTTTATCTGTTAACCAGGTATGCATTCACATCCCTACCTATTATAGGTAACAAGAGATACCTAGCATATACAAGTGCAGATACTTTACCAAGCAGTGGAGCAATTCTGAATGTAATCCAATGGCCAAAATTGTTATTCTAACAAAAGTAAATCTAAACAAACATCAGATGTGACTTATGCATACAAAAAGGTTCACTGGATGCTTCTGAACAGAGTATGAACATGCTGCAGATCTATATAGAGCCAAGTATGAATAATATGAGAGATTCCCTTGGAGTTGTGCATTTCATGGTCATTTCACTTCAGTACATATAAAAAGAAAACAAGACCACCGAGAAAAAAATCTTTGAGGAAGAGGTGATAATTCTAAGAGATGAAAGTTTATTTTAATCACAATTTTTTAAAGTATAGCCTAAATAAAAAATGCAGTATGCATGCTGAAAACGATTCCAACATTAAATTTTAGGATATGGATAGCATTTTGCAATCACGAAGCCCCAGACATGTTCTCTGCCAACTAGTAAATGGATAACATCTAATCATAACTACACATATCATTAAATGTTTCCCTAAACTAACTTTAAAAAACCCACAACAAAACAAAAAACCCAAAACAGATAAATAGGAAAGGTACATTTTCATGATCATGTAAGGATGCAATTTTTTTAAACAGTGTACATCAGTGTAGTTTGAGAACATAGGTTGCTCAATATGAGCAAATAATTTGTATCTCACTGTGAACCATCTATTGATTAATGCTGATTTAAGAGCTGACATTGTCTTTCAATATATTTATAAAAATAATCTAACCTGAGAACCTACTGAAATTTGTACGCACCTGTTTACATTTAGAAAAATGCGGCCGCCACTGATTAGATGACATGAATCAAAATATTATGTTGTATCTACAGAGATGTATTAAAATCGAGAGGTATGTGACAGGTCAATTTACAGTCAGGCTTCTCCTGTGAGCCAATTTATAGTTATGTATTCACAGAGCATTAGAAATGTTTGGGTGCCTGATACTTTTTCTTGGTAATTATGCAGTTTTTCCATTTCTATTGTTTTTGTATTTATGATGAAAAAATAAATACAAAAGTTTAAAAAAATATTTATGCAGCATATATTATCTGCCCTAATTATTTTGGAAATAAAATAATCTACACTGCTATTATCCTACAGAGTTCAGATTCTGTGCATGTATCAGATAATTTAAAATTATTCTGAGCCAAATACCACCCTGGTTTAAATTCTATTTACATTAATAGTATGTCCTCTGTTTACATCAGGTCTGAATTGTCTCTCTTGAGCTCATGTTTTCTTTAATCTGGAATTTCCAGGGTTGAACATACAGGTTTCAGCAAGTGGACAGATAAAAGATAATGCCAAAACTTACGGATTCCAGTGTTCTTTAGAAATCCTATACAGACTGGAGAACATGATGGGAAGTATAACGTTGGAGTTCTCTTCTATCAAACTCATGATATATTCATTATTCCAATAATACAGTGCCCTTTCTGCCACCTTTGATAGGGGAAAAAAGAATAAAATCCATCAGAAAATTTCAGTTACCTACAAATTTGTTACATTTTACAGAAAACTCACCACTAAACAAATAGCTTCAGAGCCAATCAAAGGGCTATCATTACTTTCAAAATTAAATCTCTATTTTATCCAGGAAATAACTTGCATTAATGTAAGGAGGTCTTTAAAGTAACTATAAAACACATTTAAAATGATTAAAATTAATGTATAAATATTCACAGTTTGGTTTCATTGTGGTTTCACAGACCCGTATGACTTGAACCCAGGGAAAGTGCTGAATACTGATGTGTCATGGTTCAAATTCTTGTCTCCCAGCTAAATCAAAGAAAGCCAAGGCATGGAGTATCTTACAAGAGGTGCTCTGTACTTGGCATAATTGAAAAACAAGGCAAGAGGGGGTTGGGCGAAGGTGGCTTTAAGCCATGATTGCTCCCTCCAGATCCTAAAATACTCTAAGGGTTAAAGAAATTGCTGGCATAATTCAGACTCCTTTGAAGGACTCAGTCGCATCAAACTCCATGAGCACTGCTTAGACTCACAAAAACACTGCTTTTTGTTATACTCTGCCTCTAACATGCCTTGCCCCCTGAGTCCCCACCACACTTCCTATGTGAAGGTTCGTGAGGGACCCTTGAAGGCAGGTTTTGATCATTTACTGGAATGTCTAAATTACCCTAGGAGCTAATTATGCTAGCATAGCCTAGGATTAGGAGGGTGATTTACACCCACTTTACCTCTCTTTGCCATGAGATGTATGTTTGAATGGAATCTAAGATCTCACCCTTGGAGTCTCATCTTTGTTCTAGTTCAATCTTCTCTGAGTGTAGGATCTGCTAGTGTAACACACTCAGCCATGGATAGAGAAACAGTAAATATAGTCTAATCAGTATTAAACTCAACATTTAGATTTCCACTATGTACATTCACAACTGCTTAGAAACTATATTTCTATTTTTTTTTAAATTACTTGTTTTACTGACCTGAAAGTGAGGACTAGAAACACACTTGGCAATTTGTTTAAACAAAGGTTCCTGAATTTTGACAAACTGTGAAGGTTCAATCACATCCAAGATCTCCTCCAGCTCCCCAAGGAACATGACCTAGACGCAAGTAATTGTTAAATTCAGAACTTGTCAAATCTTGTATTTGCAATTCATCAGCTAAGTTTTCAAACTGGTCTCAACCCATCTTCTAGTTTTATAGGCACAAACAACAGAATGTAGTCATCCACTTTATTTATTTAACTGAAATCAGACAGTTAAGATAGCTAAATTTCAAGATTTGACCCCACAATAGCAGGTGCAAAATTACAGAACAAGTTTCCAAAATTTTGCACACTAACTCTAAATACAAACAAAAGGGAACAGTTTTTGTAGCTGGTTAGCAATGAACTTAAGGGTAAACATACTTGTATTCCTACAGCAGTATACATTTTTCTATAGCTCATGACAGTTATCAAAAAGACTAGTTTATAGTTTAGGCCCTAATGCTGTACAAACCTTTCACACCCATATAACACATTTGCTCCTCAGGAGAGATAGAGGTTCAAATCACTCTGAAATGATGAAGGATTTGTGAAAAAAGTAATGGCTGCTAAGTGGGATAGTGAAAAGAGGGAGAAGACAAGACTATTTGATTCATCATTTAAAAAAAAATCTGCAAGGTGTTGGGCATCTTCAACTTCTATTAGCTTCCATTCTCCGCATTTTATCAAACTGAATGATAAATTCTACACTCCATAGTTCCTGGATCTTGCTTCTGGCTGAACAACACATGCTTAGTGCTCTATTTACAGATTATAATGCATGGTCTTTGCCCTAAGGAATTTACAGATGGCGCTATGTAGCTGGGGTAAATGCCTGGTCCCAGTGAAGACAATGGCAAAACTTCCATTGACTTCAATAGGCCAGGATTTTACCCTCGTAATTAAAGGATCCATCTTTAATTACTTGTCTTTTGGGCCAAATTTTCAAACAAAGAAGCTTTCTCTTTCCCATAAACATCAGTGTGTAAGCTCGGATTTGCAAGATCATGTAATCATGCAACTAACTGCAAATACCTCTAGCCCAACTATGAAAAAGTAGGCCTAACACAAACTGCTTCAATTCGTAACAGAATTTTTCCATGAAATTTCAAAACATTCACTTTTACCCCCGTTACATGAAAAGTCACTCTCTTGTGAAAAAATGCTTATATTAGCATACTACTTAAACTTGCCAACCGAGACTATGGTCTGGTCTACACTAGGAGATTAGGTCAAACTTTAGCTGCATAAAGGTTAATTTTCAAAACACTTAGTCCACAATTCCTACCCTGTTCTGTTGACCTTAAGGGCTGCTGAAGTAGATTTCAATACTCCTGCTTTACATGAGGAGTAACGCAATATTTGACCTTGTATGGTTGACTCTACAGTAGTGCAGACCAAGCATTGTGAAAGTTGACATTCTTTGTCTCTGGGAGGCATCCCACAATGCTGTGCTTTGACCACTCTGGCCAGAACTTGCACCTCTACTGCTCTCCAGATGAACAGGAAAAGCACCAGGAAAGTTTGAATTTTATTTCCTATGTGGACAGCGTTGCGAGTACACCTCAGAGAAGGCAGCACACCTGGCTGTGAGTTTCATGAATTCAAGTTCCATGAACTCCAGGACCCAATGGAGCAGAAGAGCACGAGCATGGAGTGTGAAGGAAATCTTGGACCTCAGAGGCATGGGGGAGAGGAATCCATTCTCTTGGAGCTTTGAACCACCAAAAGAAACACTGATATCTATACAAAGATCTCAAAGCACATGGAGAAAAAAGGATATGCCGGGGACGCCCAGCAGCGCCATGTTAAAATAAAGGAGTTGAGGCAGTTCATCACTAGACAAAGGAGGCAAATGGACAGTGAGGTGCATTGCCGCAAAAATGGCGCTTCTACGACAACCTGCATGCCCTCTTAGGCAGGGACGTGACCACCTTCCCAAGCCAGACCATGGAATCCTCCCACTCAGGGCAGCAGCATGGTGGTGATGGTGGTGGAGAAGGAGAATGGCCAGCTGGCAAGCTGCAAGAGCCAAGAACTTTTTATAACCTCGGAGACAATCCCTCCCCTCCCAGGATGTTTCAGTTGGGCACTGATCCTGGGGAGGGCACTTCTGATGAGTTCACAATTTTTTTCTTGCTACAAGAGGGTTAAGGCAAGTGGGCATGATGTGTAGTGTACTCGGTGCCTACACAGCACAGGGGACCTGGAACCGCTTGTTGATGTGTCTGGAGTTGGGAGGGAGAATCTTCCCTGCATATCTCCATGAAGCTCTCAGATAGAAACTCTTTGATCCTTCTCACAAGGTTTCTGGGGAGGCCTGCCTTATTCTGTCCTCCATGGTAAGACACCTTCCCACACCAAGCCAACAGTAACTGTTCTGGCATCATTGCAGCACAAAGCATTGCAGCCATAATGCCCAGGTTTCTGTCCACATTAAGTGAGCATCAGCTCCCTATCACTCTGTGTGATTTGGAGAAGACTGATATCTTGCATGGCAACCTGGATGAAGGAAGGGAAGCTATTAGCTGCTGCCTCTGCTGCTAGCATGGCTTTAACCTATGGCACCTCCTCCTTTCCTTCTGCAGCACTCTTCACGGACACAAAGGAGGGAAGCCATATGAGCTACCGCCCTGTCCCACCAGCCTGATTGGACCCCATCCCCCTCTTGCTCGCAGGCTCCTACTAGGATGGGAAAGCAGCACTCTCTCAGGAAGTGGGGTGTGGCGGACACAGAGGAAAAAAGCTGCATGAGCTGCTACCTTGCCCCACTGACATGACTGGACTCCATCTCCCATCCCGCCCACAGTATTGTGCCCTGGCAGGCCCGTTACCATGCTTGCCTCCAAACCGTGTGAATCCAGATGTTCCCTTGAGAACTGTGTTGTGTATGTACTGTACAGTGGCCACTTTCAAGCATAAAACTTTGGCCTTGCACTGAACACCTCTCCATTGTCTTTAGTGAGACCTTCATTGTATGTTAACAGATTAGGCTTTAGGCTCCACAATGTATCTCATGTAATGTGTGCCCTTGTAACTTTTCATTACAGCAGGAACAGAGGGAGCTTGCTGCATATCCCCCCGGCTTCACCAGCTGTCTGGCTCACAGAAATCCGCAGGTGAAAACGGACAAGGGAAGATATGTTAAGGAGCAAATGGAGTGAAGAAATATGCTACTGGAAAGATGTGAGCAGAGTGGCAGGAAAGGACAGTGTACAGGGAACTGCAAGTGAAGCACCAGAGAAGGTCTTTTCATCCCAGACGGCTGTAATGGAGTGCATGGCAGCGTGACTGGAGAGGATCCCCACCCCACCCCTTGCAGAACAACTTTCTCTCCTCATTCAGTTCCAGTGGCCCTAGGACACAGGGGAAGGGGGACTCAAGGGCAGCCTCACACTCAACCTCCAGAGTGTCATGAGGCAAAAGGGTTTCCTCACATTTCTGATTCCCCACCCTCCCCTTTCAGGTCTCACCATGGACTCCTTTTCTGTCCCTGATTCTTTCCAAAATAAAAACACATGATTTCTGAACAGTCTCTTTATTGCTTGTAATGCAGGTGTGGGGTGAGGTATTACAGAAAAACACACTGAATCCAGGGGCACCTTGTTGACAGCAACATGCATGATTTTTAAAACTGGCTATTCAAAAAACTCTCTTCCAAAGCCTCTCTGGTGTACACTGCTCCCTGATGTCTGGCTGCTCAAAATCTCTGGCTAGGCTTGGGGGAGGGGGGGGGGAGATAATTTTTTATGCGGGGCTACTCCAAGACTTTGGAAAGTGGTCAAGGGCTGCACTCTTCCATGATATTAATGGAAGAGGTGTGGGGTTTGGGATGGAGGTTGGGTGCAGAAGGGAGCTTGGGGTAAAGGATTGGTGTACAAGACGGTGGTGTGGGGTCTGGGAGAGAGTATGGGTGGAGGCAGTTGTGACCTAAGTTTCCTGTAAGCTGTGCACCTGCACAGCTATTTTTTGAGCCCCATTCTTAGGTTCAGAGGTTTTGAGCAGGTAGGGAGCTCGGCTGACCGATGGGGGTGGAGTGTCTCTAAGCAGCAGCTTATCGGTGCTAGCTATGTGCTTGAACTGAGGAGATCCCAGAGCAGATATGGAGGGAGATAAGGAGAGAATAAGTGGCTGGAGGTGGGGAGGGGAGTGAGTAATTAATTAATTGGCTTGGGGGAGAGCCTGAGGGGAGGGGAGTTTGGAAAGTACCACATGCAAGTAGAGAGAGGGGGCAGAGGCAGAAACCCAGCAGTCTCCTCAAGCCTCCTGGGCTGGGAAGGGAGGTAAAGGGCTGACTGTATGGGGTAGGAGGGGAAAAAAGGGGGGTGGGCGTGTGCTGGCATCTGTGCAGTGAGGTGGAAGCAGAGGGCAGATTGTCTGGGATGTCATGACTCACTTGCTGCCATCCTCTCTGTGTGGCCAGGTTGAAGGCAGGTTGTATGGAATGTGTGTATGTGCCAGGACATTTGCATGATTACATTTCAGTTTTGGGATGTCATGACTCACTTGCTGCCATCCCTTCTGTGTGGCCAGGTTGAAGGCAGGTTGTATGGAATGTGTGTATGTGCCAGGACATTTGCATGATTACATTTCAAAATGTACATAGGTGTTAATGGCTTACGGTAAGAAAGAAAAAAAATTTTAACCGAAGTTTGAGTATTGCAGATCTCAGGCTGTGTCTACACTACAAAGAAAAGTCAGAAAGATATGCAAACTGCGAACCGCAACTTGAGTATCTTCTCCCGCTTTTCTTCTGAAAGAGGCTTTTCCAACATTTGGCCTGTCTACATGGGGCCAAATGTCAGAAAAAAAACCCTCTCTCTGAACATCCCTTCTTCCTTGTAAAAAAAGGTATACAGGGATGCGGAAAAAACGTGTCTGCTTTTCCAAAAAAAAATTCAGAAAAGCAAACACATTCCTTGGACATGGCAGAGCTTTTCCGGGATACCGGAGTATCCTAAAACTCTGATCTTAATGATTTTTTAAATCCTGTATTATTAATTAATATATGGTAAAATGTATTACATTAAAGCTAGACCTTTACTATGTGGTAGAGTTCTGGTTCTTATGAGTCAGAAGTAGCAAGTACTAGGTGTAATGCTAGTAGTTTTGTAGGATTAAACCTTATTTGCAAGCTCTTTGAAACATTTGCATCTGTCTACAAACCCTAACCACATGTTTAATTTGCTTCTCCTCTTTGAGATGGTGACACACAAAATGTGAGAGAATTTTCATCTGTGTTAATAGCATGGAGACTAAAAATTCCTCAGCGAAATTGTATAAGCCTCAGTGAATGCCTTTTATTCTCCTTTCCAGTGTCAGTTAATACTGTATTAGTCATGCTTTCCTTGCACATACTATTTCTACTTGACTTGTATGGATAATATGCATTTTGGGAGAAAGGATGATGAAGCATGTACTCCAAGGGTAGTGTTAATTTTCTTTTTATTAATATTAAATATTGTAAGCATTACTCCTTGTTAAATATCCCGTGTTTCAATGTATTTTCTTCCACACATATGGAAGTTATTTTATGTGTGTTGGTTTTTCTTTGTATTGGTGGTGCACATCCACACACTACCTCAATATTGGTGTTGCACATAAGAAATTTCAACCTGTCCAAAAGAAAATTCAACCCGCCCAAGGAAAATGTTAGATGGAACACTGGTTGTGACCTGGGACATGGGACTGGGGTGCAGGAGGAGGCACAGGGATTTGGGTTGTGATCTAAAGCAGGAGTGATTATGACCTGGGGGCAAGGAATTGGAGTACAGGGGTTTGGGGTGTGACTTACGGCAGGAGAGATTTGTGACCTGGGGCAGGGAACTGGGGTAGAGTCTGGGAGGAGATATGGGCTTGGAGGGGGCAGAGGGTTTGGCTTATGTGGGGTAGGGGGGTAAAAGCTGTGGGCAGAGGGTTGGGGGGAGGGAGAGGCTGGAGTGTCAGAGGCAGAATCTGGCTAGGAGACTTAGCTGAGTGACTCCCAGCCAGCAGCCCAGCGTATTTCTCAGGCAGCCTCCCTGCACAGGCTGCAGGGGCCATGTGAGTCTGTGAATAAGAGCCTGAGCTGGTGGGGGTGTTTTACGCGCTGCCTTTTCTTCAAACAGGCAGCTCCAACTGCCTAGAAACTGACCAATGGGATTGTGCTGGAAGTGGGGGCAGGAGATGAAGTCTCCCCTGCCAGCTCACAGCTGTTAAACACAAACAGCCCGACAGCCACTTTTCTGAGCGGTGTGCAGGGGTGGGTGAGGTAAGCAGGGAGTCTGGCTGAGGTTCCCTGCTGCATCTGCAGGCTGGATCCAGTTGCTTAGCAGACCGGATCTGGCCCGCCGGCCATATTTTGCTCAATCCTGGGCTAGGCGCTTTGCCTCAGCTTCCCACCCAGTCAGATAACTTTCCCTGCTTGTTCTCACAAACATTATGGAGCACACAGCAGGCTGCCACCACAAAGACAATGTTGCATTTGCTGAGGACTAACTTAGTCAGTAGACTCCTAAATCTTCCCTTCAACACTCAAAAGCACAATTAACCACCATTCTGCACTTGCTCAGTCTGTAGTTGAACTGTTCCTTACTGTGGTCCAGGCTGTCCACGTATAGCTTCATGAGCCACGGGAACAAGGGATAGGCTGGGTTGCCAAGGATCACTAGTGACATTTCCACCTTTTTTATTCTAATTTTCCAGTATGGGAAAAAAGTTCCAGCTTGCAGCTTTCTGAAAAGGCAGGAACTCCTAAAGATGCACGTGTCATGCACCTTTCACAACCATTCCATGCTGATGTCAGTGAAATGGCCCTTGCGATCCACTAGCGCTTGCAGCACCAACAAGTATCCCCCCTTAGGGACTATGTACTCCTTGGCAAGGTGGTCAGGTGCCAAGATGGGGATATGTGTTCCATCTATCACCCCACTGCAGTTAGGGAACCCCATCATGGCAAAGCCCTCCACTGTGACATGCACATTTCCAAGTGTCACTTCCCTCCATAGCAGAATGGTATCGATTGCTTTGGGTACGTGTATAACAGCAGCCGCCACAGTAGATTTCCCCATTCTAAATTGATACCCAATTCACCGGTAGCTGTCTGGTGTTGCAAGCTTCCACAGGGCAATTGCCATGTGCTTCTCCACTGTCAGAGCTGGTCTCATTCGGGTGTCTCAGTGCTTCAGGGCAAGGGAAAGCAATTTGCAAAGTTCCATGAAAGTGGCCTTGCACATTCGGAAGTTTTGCAGCCACTGATGATTGTCCCATATCTGCAGCACTATGCAGTCCCACCAGTCCATACTTGTCTGACAGCACCAGAACCAGTGTTCCATTGTTTCCATAGGACTGAATGCTGTGTGCATTTCTAATTCACTCAACTCAAGGGCTTACCTGAGATTTGTCCTCTTCCTGGAGTGACGTGCATACAGTCTCTACATACTCCACCATTAGGCATATGAAGGCAGACATCAACATCACAATGCTTTCATGCACAAGGGGATCCATGAGGGGGGCCATGCTTACGCTGCAATGGCATTTGCACTAGTAATCAGGGTAAAAAAGGGTGCGAAAAGACTGTTTCGCTTTGGTGGTAGTAGACAAGTGCATTATGGGACGCTGACAACATGAACCCAGAACTATGCGCTGCACAGTTTTGGTCCCAGAGTGCATCAGAAGCATAACCCAGAACAAAGTCAACTGCAGTTTCCCTACTGGGGATGCGCTACTTCGAACTACATTGAATTCTTGTGCACAGTGGATCTTTGACTTTACAAAATCAGATGGTAAGAAAGCAACCTTAATAAATTCAACCTTAACTTGTAGTGTAGACATGGCCTACGAAACTATCATCAGCTTGACACCTTTAGAGTCAAAATTATGTTCAATACAGGACAGTTTGTATATAGACAGAATCACCTGTACGAGCTAAACAGATGCCAAAATACACCATATTGTTTAAAATTGTCCATATTATTTACCTAACCCTCTCTGGATGATCCTGGGATAGAAGTGTCTTTAATATGTATCTTATGTATTTTTTATTATGTATCAAACTCCTTCTTTACTTAAGTCTTAAGAGTAACACAGAACTTACCTCTTTTTGACTGCAGGTTTTCGGCCAGAATTTCATTAAACCTCTAATGACCTGAATTACAAATGAGAAAATAAATTACATTAAATTTTACAACTTCACATCTAGGAAAAATTGATATTTAAAAAATAAAAATATATCAAAGAAATATTTACTGGTTCTGTGAGTGAAGGATCTTTCTCCAGAAACTGTACTATGCAATATGCCAGCTGTGAAGGGGAAAAATATATAAACATAAAATTATGACATTTTCACAAGAACTCAAAAGACATGTTCAGAATTAAAAAGAATAGGGAATTAGAACAGTTCACTATGCATCTTTTTCTAAACTAAATCCTATTTTAAACTGGAAGTCATGGGAATTCGCAACTCCATCCAAGGTGCAGTTAACAAAGAATAAACAAACGAAAAGTGAGGAATGAATATGTCCAAGTACATTTTGAAATCATTTGAACTTTATGGGTTCCAACTGTACTCATGTAAGCAACATTGTGAAAGGCTCATTGTTCTGCAAACATGTTTCTTTTACACTTTTGGCAGCATCAGCACTGTGACAACTCATATGAGTGGAGCCAACAAAGCCAAAAATTTGCAAAAAAGATTAAGAAAACAAGGCCAGAGTGCAGAAATTAGGATCAATTTAGAGCCAAAGTGCAAAAAGGATGGGAGTGTAAAGAATCACCAAGATAGATAACTAGACAGATGACAGTGCAAGAGTCAAAAACAGACCTCTAGTTGCAGAATCAGGGCCTGGATGAGTGGAGAAGATAGCCTCATTATAGGGATAGCAAGATTGGGTGACTGGCAGGAAAGTCTACAGAGTTTCAGTGCTAGACAATATCTTACATTATATAAAGGTTATATGAAATCCATAGAGCTATATCCATAAAGTCTATATCTATATCTATGAATTCCACTAGATTTATCCTATAAAATGCATTTAAGTTCACTAAATACCTATCTGTTTCAGTTTGATTACACATGACAAAAGTTTTCTGTGGGTTTTTGTGTTTGTTTTCATTTAGATTTTTTTTTTTGGCTAAACAAAATATTTCCACAGCAATCAAGCATATTACTGTCCTGTTCTAACCAAGCAGATTTTTTAAATATAAATTTCTACCTGTGCATGGAAGAGTGATAAACTTCTGACAGTATGTAAAGGAATCAACACCTTCACCAGAAACTGTTTATGCTCTGCTTTTAGAGGTAAAGCAAAACCATTGATAATACTAGAAGTAAAAAAAAAAGGAAATTTTGATTAGTGACATCACAGAAAATGTACTTGTGGTCTGAACAAATAGTTTCTATCAAATATTTTCTATCAAAGTAATTACACAAGAAGATAGACTGCAGATAATATAATATGTGCTGAAGATTTGCACTAGCCAGTGATCAAGGTTAGTTCTAGTCACTGCTATTTACTAATTAAACGCTCACATGAGAATAACTATGATCACTCGTACAATATTGTTGGCTAATATACTTGAACCTCCTCAATTTAGCAATCCTGGGAAACAGGGTTTGCCATATTAAAAATTTTGCTGGGCCAGGTGCTGAGGGATCTGAGCATGAGGGGGATGGTATGGGCTGCTTACCTGGTGCCCCACTCCTGGGGATACATGTGTCTCTGCACCCTCATTACTCCCAGACACCATCCCCTGGTATGTGAGCAGAAGGAAAAGCCAAAGGGGAATATGGAGATTCAAGTGTATATATGACCTTGCCTATTTGTTTGGTAATATAAAAGAGTTTAAGGTACTCTTTGATGGACTGTGGAACTAACTACAATTATATTTCAGAGGGGTAGCTGAGTTAGTCTGTAATAGGAAAAACTTGAAAAACAATAGTCTAATAGCACCTTAAAGATTAACAAAACATGTAGATGGTTTCATGAGCTTTTGTGGGCACAACCCACTTCTTCACATGACAGGAGTATTAGAAGTCCAGATCCAAGAATAAATAAGGGAAGGAGGAAAAAAGAGAAAAAAGGAGGGGAGGGGAAAAAAAAGAGACAGTGAGTAGATCGTTCAAATAGTTACATGAAGCTGATAAGAACAATTAGCATTTCCATTGTTTGGCTGGTTGGTTAAGTAATTAGGAGGAACCTGTTGGAAGATGGTGTGCGAGCCAGCCCATGTCCCTGTTCATACCATTTGCAAAGAATTAAACTTGTGAATGAAGTTGAGTTCCAGTTCTCTGTATATTTGGCTTGTGGAATTGGCCTGAAACAAAATTGTTGGGTCCAGGGATGAAATTGCTAGTGTATATGTACAAGTAGAGTTGGCACTGGGGCTGATTGCAGGGGTGGGTTCCTGGATGATTATGATGGAGATGTGTTGCGTGGTTACTTGAAATAATTTGTTTGAGATTAGGGGATTGTCTGTAGGCAAGAACTGGCCTTTCCCCTAAGGACTAAGAGTGAGACCTGCCCACACATCTACACTAGCGATTTCAACCACATCAGCCACCAAAATCAGAGGCTCATTTAGCTGCACATCCACTAATGTGGTGTATGCCATCAAATGCCAGCAAAGCCCCACTGCAATGTATACTGGCCAAAATGGACAGTCTCTATGGGAAAGAATTAATGGACACAAATCAGATATCCGAAAAGGCAATACATCAGCTGTTCCCAACCTATTCCAGATGGGGACCCATTTTGACAATTCAGGAAAACTTGGTGACCCAAGGCAATTCAAAAACGGGGGGAAGGGAGCAGAGACACCTGGAAAGACACTTGGCGAACCTTTTGAAATGTAATGGTGACCCATACTTGGGTCCCGACCCATACGTTGGGAAACCCTGAAATACACAAAACCTGTTGGAGAACACTTTAATCTGCCTGGACACTCATTAATGGATTTCCAAGTCACCATTTTGTTTCAGGCCAATTCCAAAAGCCAAATACTCAGAAAATGGTTGGAACTCAACTTCATTCACAAGTTTAATTCTTATGTAAATGGTAGGAACAGGGACATTACAGTGGCTGGCTCACACACCATCTTCCACATCCTAATGACTTAACTGTTCTTATCAGCTTCTTGTAACTATTTGAACCGTCTCCCCCTACTCACTGTCTCCCCCTTTTTTCCCCTCCCCTCCTTTTTTCTTTTTTCCCTCCTCCCCCACCCCCTTCCCTTATTTTTCTTTGGATATGGATTTCTAATATTCCTGTCATCTGAAGAAGTGGGTTGTGCCCATGAAAGCTCATGATGCCATCTACATGTTTCATTCTTTAAGGTGCTACTAGACTATTTGTTGTTTTTTAAGTTTTTACAATTATATTGATAACCAACACACTGAAACCAACACCCTAACAGATGCTTAGTGTGCTCAAGCAAAAAATTGAAATGTACACGGCAAAATGAAGTGCCACGGGGAACAATGTAAGAAAAAAAATTGTATTTTGCAATCTACACACAATTAAATCCTCTTTGCAAAGAGTTATGCTAAGACTGACACCTAAGAACGTGCACAAGTCTGTTTTCAGAATGAGGGTTTAGGATCATTTTTTAAATGAGCCCTGAAATTTTCAGCATAACTCTTTGAGATGGCTTATTATGTAAAGGTTTATTTACCTTCCTAATATTTCCAGCAGTTCAGCTACACCATTGAAGTGTTCAGTTTCATAAACAAACCTATCAAATAAAGATAAAAAATAAATAGATACCTAGTTTCTTAAAACATTTATAATACAACTGTTTTCCCTCAAAACTTACCGTAGAAAAATATTGTTAATCTGTTTTCGGATAAATGCTCTAAGACCAAGAAACTTGCCATAAATTCTGTGTAAGACTGTTTTAAGGTAATCTCGTTCTCGGGGATCTTCACTGTCAAATAGCTCCAAAAGCTGTTGAAAAAGAAAATTTAATGCAAGTTTCAGATGACTAACAAGACATGGTAAACTGGCTTTATTTTATACAGTTTGCATATGAGTGTGCACACAGCCGTTACACAAATCTGTTGCTTTCATTATTAACAAAAATAAAATAAACACACAATAAAATTGTTTTTAAAATTAAAGAAATTAAAATTAAACTTTTAATACAGAAACCGAAAAGGAATTAATTAAAGTTGAAAGGAGTCAATATAGAGATGAGGTATTTAGTCAACTGTATGAATACCAGCCAATGTATTCTGTAGAAAATGTATTGTGGAGTGTTCATAACTCAAGTAGCCACAGTCGAGCCTTTAAATAAATGAATCAATTACTATTCCAATTATCTTGTTAAGCAGAGGACTTGGACTGGTGACATTCCAGAGACGGTAGGAAAATAAAGAGTTTAGCTACAAAATAGAAATTCATTGAATAAGGTCCTGTCAATTTAGTTCTCAAAATCTTTAAGGGCATGACCCAATTTCCTGAATTGAGACAGGCACAGAGTATGTAACAGGACTTTTGAGCCCACTTGTGGTTTATGAACACTACCAACTTGCTCAAGCTCTCTTTTCTATTTTTGTTTCCATTTCAAAACATGTAAATAGATAATTATACTGATGTCTGACCTAGGGGAAGGTAGGTTTTTCATTTGGGTTTTAAATAGGAAGAGCTTCCCTTTCCCAAATGCTTCTCTCATCTCTCCTTCATGCATAATTCCCACCACTCATAGTTGTTTACAACTATGTGTATATACTTGATCTGATTTTGATTTCACAGTGGTTGCACATAAAAAGATTCTTCGATTCTACATTCTATCAGTTTGAAAGCTAATTCCAGTACTATAATATGAGGAATATCTCACAAATTAGAGATTTTTTTCCCAAGTGTACTCATAATAGTCTCCTTATTACTGGACCTTGTTTTTCTTAATGGTCTAAAAAGTCACATTGTCCCCTTGGTTTGAATAACAATAATTATAATAATCGTACTATGTATTTTAGAAATGTGCATCTGTCTGTCCAGGAGTTTGAGAGTCCATTTGTTCAAGAACTCCTCCTAAACGGAAAGAGCTAGGACCACCGAATTTGGTATGCTGCTTCCTCTTATCATAACTTAAACCAAAGTCAGGGTTTGATGATGCCAGCTCAATGAGATGTGCCTGGAATCCAATTGTTTTCCATTACACAGAAAGGGAGGGGTCTGACAGGAGCAACAGTTATGCTCTGCAATGACCACAGGAGGCAGCAAATATGAGCAACAGGTATACTCCAGACTGACCACGGGGGAAGGGGGGTGACCTCACCAGTAAGAGCGTGGTCAGCTGGGCCTTGAGCTCTGCATGTTGCAGGCCACCAGTCCTGGTAAGTGGCCCCTCTGCCCCCAAGCCTCAGTCCAAACCCCTCCCCCGAGCAACAGCACAGGAATGGGGGGGGGGGTGAAGGGGGTGAATGAGAGTGCCGCTACACTCCTGGGGAGCAGGAGTCAGGGCACTTTTTGGGAGGTGCAGGGCTCAGGATAGAATGGTGGGAGGTCGGAGGGGAGGGGGGCTTAATGGGCTGGTAGTGGCTCCTCCCAGGGGGCTGGGAGAAGCACAGCCCCAGCGCTGCCCCCTCCCCCCAGGGGAACCACTGGCTGCACCCTTCATATCACCTGCCCCCTGCCCTGAGCCACTGCTCATCCCCAAACCCTCACTCCAGCTCCCCACACACCAACCTCATACCGAGCCCCTCCTCATTCCACAACCTCCTTCCCTGATTGCTACACTTCCTACCCCAAGCCCACCACTCGCTGCCCTGAGTCCTACATCCCCACATTCTGTACTCAGCCCCCCACAACTCCCAGCCCCCTGCCCTGACTCCAGCACCCTCTGCACAGTGTGCTAACTCCTGAATCTCTCTCTCACACACACACACACACACACACACACACACACACACACACACGGTTAAAGACTTGAGCAACTCCAGGTACATCTGCTAGTAATAAATACGTATGGCTACAGAAGTGTAAGAGATAATGTATCATTAGTGGAGGAAAAAAATAAATCTTAACATTTATACTACAGAAAACAGTAATCTAAAGAATAGTTTAAGAAACTGTATAATTGGACTCCTGATATTAGTCAATCACAAAAAACTGCGGACACATTAAAAAGTACTCTAAACAAGGAAAAAGCTTATCACAGTTTAAATAGACTGTTTTCAGCTGTTCAAGGAATCCTAATTAACGTATGATTTTAGAGCATGTTACTGTATATACTTGGAAATAAAAAACAGCACAATCATAATACCATTGGCAAAGATCACTTTAAACTCTGACCTCAGGATTATAATATTCTTATTTTTAAGAAGATATAATTTAAGCAGATAGAACAAAAATGGATGGGGACCTACCAAAGTAAGCAACCGAGCGAAAAGAATATCATTCACTAAGAAAATTTTGAAACACTTCAGAACATAGGCAAGGCTTCCAGAAGAAAGAAGCGTGTGGAGCCTTGGCAATTGAAATAATCTGATCTGATGGTAACAGACAGGAGTGAATCAAAAAAATTGTAAAGGAAATCTAACAGTAACAAAAATAAATAAAGCAGTATAGTGATGACAATTAGGAGGAGTTGTCACCCATTTACTCCCCCCCAACACACACACAAATACAAATTGCCTTATATTTACCGAATAAGGGTATGTCTACACTAGCCCCCTAGTTTGAACTAGGGAGGCTAATGTACAGGGCTCGCCAAACCGCGGCGAGCCCCGCTTGCCAGCCGGGCTGTCCAGTGATCTGCGCATGCGCTGATCGTTCTGCGCATGCGCAGATTGCCCGAACCCGGTTCTTCCGGGTTACAATCTACTCGTCCCGGGCGAGTAGATTGTATTATTTGTCGAGCCCTGCTAATGTAGGCATTCGAAGTTGCAAATGAAGCCTGAGATTTATATGGCAATTTCACGAGGGAAATTGAGTTTTGTTATCTGCCCTAGAAAGGTTATAAACAAAATCATTATGTTGAATAAGATCTGCCTTAAAACAAAAAACAAAACCAGTCCACCCAATGAACTGCACACACCTTACCCTTCCAAAAAATTCTGAATTTCATCTACAACAGAAAATAGCTGGAAATGCTACAGAAACAATAGGATTTTAGCTTTCTGACTGAATTGTTTATATGGGCAAAACGTTTAGATTTTCAATTTTATTGTACAAATTCTCTTGGGGGAAACTGTTTAATCTTATCAGTATCCATTTCAATTACAGGCTTAAAACATACTAAAAGACTCATGTTCTGATATGTTATGTCCAATTTGTCTTCAGGAATTAACAAAATAACAAAGGGTTATTTTTAAGAACAGGCTCAATCATTTCCAGAATTCGCATGATTATTATGACACCTTTATACTAACTATAACTAAAAATGGGAAGTACAAATTACTAAACAGAAACCTAGAGCAAAACATATGAGTATGTGGATATTTCATTGTTATGTGTCTTAGCAATATTTGCCTTACATTTCACAATAGAAGTAAGTGGTATTTAGAAATCAAATGCTAAACTAAGTAACCAATGACACCGCTCTAGGTTTGTCAATAAATACCAAAAGTGACTAGTATTTTTTTCATTTTTAAATTAAAGCCATTCCTTATTAGGACTAACTTAATTAAAGTTTCTCAAATTTTAAAAACAAATTCAACAACAAAATTAAGGTGATAGGTAACAGTCAGCATGGATTTGTAAAGAACAAATAATGTCAAACCAATCTGATAGCTTTCTTTGATAGGATAACTAGTCTTGTGGATAAGTAAGAAGTGGAGGATGTGGTATACCTAGACATTAGTGAAGCATTTGATATGGTCTCACCTAATCTTCTTATCAATAAACAAGGCAAATACAACCTAGATGGGGCTATTATAAGGTGGGTGCATAACGGGCTGGATAACCATTCCCAGAGAGTAGTTATTAATGGTTCGCAGTCATGCTGGAAGGGCATAACAAGTGGGGTTCTGTAGGGTCTGTTTTGGGACTAGTTCTATTCAATAGCTTCATCAACGATTTAGATAATGGCATAGAGAGTGTACACTTATTAAGTTTGCTTATGATACCAAGCTGGGAGAGGCTGCAACTACTTTGGAGGATAGGGTCAAAATTCAGAATGATCTGGACAAACTGAAGAAACGGTCTGAGGTAAATAGGATGAAGTTTAAAAAGGAGAAATGCTAAGTACTCTATTTAGGAAGGAACAATATATTTCACACATACGGAATGGGAAGCGACTGTCTAGGAAGGAGTACTGCAAAAAGGGGTCATGGGGAACACAAGCTTGTGAACCAGAAGCTAAATGAGAGTCAAGAGTGTGACATTGTTGCAAAAAAAGCAAACATGATTCTGGGATGCATTAACAGGAGTATTGTGAGCAAGATACAGGGAAGTCATTCTTCCACTCTACTCTGCACTGATTAGGACTTAATTGGAGTATTGTGTCCAGTTCCGGGCACCACATTTCAAGAAAGATGTGGAGAAATTGGACAAAGTCCAGAGAAGAGCAACAAAGAATGATTAAAAGTCTAGAAAACATGAGCTAAGAGGCAAGGCTGAAGTAACTGGGTTTGTTTAGTTTGGAAAAGAGAAAACAGAGGGGACATGATAGTGGTTTTCAGGTATCTAAAAGGGCAAGGCTGGGCAAAATATGGCCTGGAGCCCAGATCCGGCCCACGGACCACCCTGCCATGACCCTCAGGCACACGCAGCTGCTGCATTTAACACAGACCCTGCATTTCTCTGCTCTGCAGCAAGGGGAAGGCTTCATGTTATCTCCCCACCACCAACCCAATCCTCAGCTCCTATTGGCCAGAAACAACCAGCCAATAAGAATTGACCTCAGCCAATCTCTCTGCTCTTATTGGCTGGAAACAGCCAGCCAATCAGAGCTGAGAGATTGGCCTGCAAGACTGGGGCAGCTGGAGTTGAGAGCCACTTGG